AAAGGAGCAGGCGACCGGAGCGTACAGGCTCCGTTCGCCGGGCCTCTGGTGGGTGGGGGGGAGGGAAAGGAGCAGGCGACCGGACTTGATTGCGGGCGGGGGGGGGGTGAGGCGGGCGACCAGAGGCTGCCGCCGTCACCTGTGTTTGAGTGGGCGCTGGGGAAGGCAGCTGAAGTTCACCGATTCAATAGAGCCCTCGTAGTCCTCGTCGTCGGGCACAATGAAAATGGCGTCGGGTGACTGGTGAGGTACACATTCGCAGGAGTGGTGGTGTGGGTGGGACCTGGGCTTTGCCTTCTGATTGTTGGCCATATATGGTGAGGAGCAGTTCCATCAGCCATACACTAACAGGGCGCATTTTAGAACGTTGGTGCCCACTACTCTTTTATATATAAGGGAGAGATATTACAGATAGATGCCAGCTTGACTGGATTGGGAGCAGCCCTATAATAAGAGCAAGAGGGAGAACTCAGGGTGATTGCATATACCAGCCGTTGGAAGCCAGAACTCAGGGTGATTGCATATGCCAGCTGTTGTATGTCAGCCGTTGGATGAGTGTGAGTGAAAGAAAGTGCAAGTACATAAATTAGAATTTTTTTGGTCTTAAATGGGCCATATCAGAAAAATTCCAAATTTGGCTGGGAGGATTCCTTGGGGTATAATCCATAAGAACTTCAGCCAAGTTGGAACAAAGTTACTGCTGGAAATGTGTTTCCCTACGAAACCAAAGGAAACAAATAATAACTATAGTTGAGGAAATGAGAATCTACAAAAACAAAGATAACATCAACAAATTAAAAAATGCTTAAAATATTTATTTTCTAGAGAAATGAAAACAAGTTTTTTGTATATTCCTCTTTTATACCTTACAAATAATACAAGCAACTGACAGTCCAACTGTCCTCTTTCAGCACCTGCGGGTGGGGGTGGGGCAGCCCCTCCTTCTCTGCCCTTGGACAGTGGGGGGAACTACAGTCCTGAGAGAAGACAGTAAGGCACACAGAGCCAGGCAACTGTCGTCACAGGGCACCTGGTTCCTGCTCTACCTTTAACCAATTTATTTTAACATCTATGCACCCCTTTTTTGTGGTTTACTCCCAAAGCAGCTTCTGCAGAATACAAATAAAGGTTAGAAACTAAACTCATATTGTTTCAGCTGCTGTTCAGCAAAAAAGGTCTTGTTCTCAGGATATCCTAAAACAAATGGCAGGGAGTGCATTGGTTCCCACTGACTGACTATAGGAATTCACTGAATTTCTGAATGGTCATTGGAAAGGATTTAAACAAGGGACAACATCTTTTAATGTAAAGAGAATTTATATGCCACAGGGAATTTATATGCCACACCTCCACAGACCCACTTGAATCTGAACTGGATGCTACCTGTTTGCAGTGGTTATTTTTTTTTGTAACTGAACAAAATGAGTGAAAATAACATATTTTAAAAATACTGTAAATTACAAAATGTGAACCTTGTCTGGAGACTAATAATTCAGTAAGTAGAATATTAGTTGGATGATAATTTTGCCATAGTTTTATTTGCTTTTAAAGTACAGTAACAGTGATTGTGTTAAATGTTGTATGTGGGTGCAATTTTTCTGGATTTTTAAAAACACCATTGGGTGAAAAGGGCTGCCACGTGAAGTTAGCCCCTGAAGTCCATTGCGTAAGCAACCGAGCTCCCTTATTTCAGCAAGTTCCCCTAGTCATTCAAAAGCTACCAAAAGATTATAGTACCTATTCTCTTCCACTCCCAAAGACTGTTGGGGAAACTTAGCATTGAACTGCCTGTACTTGGGGTAGTGAAAATGGTATGAAAAGGGGTAGAAATGACAATGATTTTAGGAGAATGACTGCAGCAGGAACTCTCTACTATTGGACGAGGGAAACAACCCCCCCCCCCATTTAATTGTATTTTATTAGTTCGAATTAGTGACCTTGGGGTGAGATAGAAATCAAGCAAACGGAGCATAATAATTCATAGTTAGGATGTGGCCGATCTGAATTCATGTGAAAAGAAGGCATCAGGAAAATAATAACGTGGGCGTGAAGACAGAGCAGTTAGCTCCTCCCTAGTTATTTCAAAAAACGTTATCACATAGACGGCAACTCGCCATATTTGCAAAATCATATTCCATGAAGGACTTACCAAGGCAAATGAGCGCATTTACCTGGTGAAAGTAACACATTGCTCCAGCCTCCAGGTAGAGAATCAAGCACGATCTGTAAACCAGTAGTGCCACCTTGAGGGGTAATACGGAGGTAATATGCTACAAATTCAAATCACACGAATAAGTTTTTAAAACAAGTGGTTTTGCTTCTTCTTCTTTTTTAGTCTATAACGGCCATTTTAAATTCTTTTTTTTTAGAATGCCCAGGTAATTAGAGATGACTACATGTTCCTGTAACTGTTACTGCCGTCTTTCTAAAAGTAGTTTAAGCCATCTAGCCATCTCTTAACGCCACCAGGCATACCAAAAAGTGTGCTTCTCTAACAGTTTTCAAAAAGCCAGAAAGAAGGAAAGGTAATCGACGGCTTCAAGACTACGCGATTTTGAATTGTTCCTCGCGAGAAAAAGCTAAGCTAGTCGCTCCTCTAATTAGCAGCCCTTTGGCGTGTAACTGTTGCCATGGAGACGGATGTCGCTTAGCAACATTTCTGCCGGGGACGCACGCGGACGATTTCCCGGGGAAAGTTCCGAGCCATGTCCGGACGCATGGTGGGCCTACGGGAAGCATGAGACCCAGCAGCGCTAGCAGTGGCTCTCGCTCAGGTTCTGCCGGTTCCAGACTCATCGACGTGAACAGCAACACACCGTTGCTGCTCCCACCTGTCACTGCGACAGTCTCGCTAGCAGCGGAGGTACGGACCAGTCCTGCGTTGCTGGTGGGCGGCTCAGAGACCGTCGAGTTGGCGGGAAGAAGCTCAAGGGGGTTAGTGCCCAGCCCCTGGATTTTCTAAATTGTCGTTTAAATAAAACCCTTGGGCAGGGGTTGACTGCTGCCATCCCTCTGTAGTAGGGCTTCTGTGCTTTTAATACAGCCACAGGATAGGCACAGCAAGAGGCACACTGTATTGCCACACTCATAATACTGAGTTGTATCTTGAATTTCTGCTGGATACGCATTTCTTAAGGGCATAGATGCATTGCCAGGAAAACTGTGTAGGGCTGATTAGAAAGTACAGGTAGCAATGCACCTGTAGTGGCTCAAAGGTGCCCTCTAGTTTTCCTTTGGCTTACCAGTTCCTTTTTGCAACACTTCACTGATGTCACTGAAAAGGTTCTGTGTAACACTGGTCAGTGTTGCAATTCTTCAGCTACACAGATTGCACCATTCTTATCTGTTACAGATAAGTAACAACACTGAGTAACAGTACTAAGGGGGGGAAACTGTAGTGAACAAATGTGATCGCAGGTACTCCAGTTGCCATGTTTAGAGATTTCTGGTGCCTGACCTTATTAAATCACAGCTTCTATTGTGTATCTTTTTTCTTTTCTTTTTGGAGATGGTTTAAAATTGTAAATGTGTTCTAGAGTTGGCATATTTCAAATTGGGGCTGCAGTTATCAGGTGCCTTTGGTGTGCATGCATGCATATGTGCAAACACAGATGCCAAACACTGTGGAGCGCACAACTCACCATTTAATACACTGCACTTGGTTTGCTGTATTTCATACTATTACATACAATGTGTTCAACAGTTAATCTCTTGTGTTATATCATTAACCAGAAGGCAAAAGCACTCTAATGTCCCAGGAATAGACAGTTTGCCAGGTTTTTTTGCGGATAAAATATTGAGAATATGCTCTGATCTGGATGTCAGTTATAACATAGGTGCACCAGAAGAAAAGTGTAATATACTGACAGGGCTATTTATGTTCAGGTGGATAGTTGTATTGTTCTGAAGCAGCAGAACAAAGTTTGAATCCGGTGGCACCTAGACCAACCAAGTTAACAGCAAATTAGCACACACTGTAATGAAGATGTTTTAACAGATGTGAGAACCAAACAGGAATGGTGACCATATCAATTTAGCTTGTTATTCTTGTTTGGTTCTCACATCTATTAAAGCATCTTCATTATGTTTTCCAATTTGCTGTTCACCCTCTACTATATATGTATGGACCAATAACTTCCATTTCAATGTGTCTGAGTAATGTGCATGCACACGGAAGCTCACACCTTGAATACAATTTTGTTCGTCTTAAAGGTACCACCGGACTAGATCTGGGCTATTTATGATAATTTTGACCTAGTTTCCATGATGGATGTGGACAAGATCCTGGGATCAGTGAAGGCCACTACTTGTTATCCTGGATCCATGCCTATCCTGGCTACTAAAATCATGTAAGGACTACATCAACAAACCCTTAGCATCTATTATAAATCAGTTACTAGCTCAGGGCACTTCCCCTTGGCCACTCAAAGAGGTCCATTACTAAAAAACCCATCCCTACAGATGCACGATGTGGCCAATTATCACTCGGTCTCTAATCTACCCTTGCTGGGCAAAGTGATTGAGACAGCAGTAGCAAACCAACTCCAAGTCTTCTTGGATAATTCATCTGCCCTAGAGCCTTTTCATTCCCGCTTCAGGTGGCTCTGCTAGCCTTAGCTGATGTCCTTTATCTGAGTGTGGACAGAGACCAAGCCTTTCTGTTACTCTAATTGGATTTATCTGCAGCCTTTGATACAGTAGATCATGCCATCTCGTTGAGGCTCCTGGAGGAAGAAATTGGTATCAGGGGGTGCATGCTAAACTGGTTCAAAGCATTCCTCACAGATTAGACTCAAAGGGTTGCTATGGGAGACCAGTTGTCATCAGTGTGGGACCTATCTTGGGGTTCCAGAGGGCACAGTTCTATCCTCCATGCTTTTCAATTGCTATGTAAAGCCCTTAGGAAAAGTCATTTGGTTTTTTTGTCATCGATATGCTGATGATACTCAGCTCTATATATCCTTATTCAAATCTCCTGGTGATGTGGTAGAGTTCCTGAATCGCTGCCTGGCTGCTGTGGTTGACTGGCTAAGAGTGAACAAATTGAGACTAAACCTCGGAAAGACACAAGTAAGGCTGGTTGGGAAGGAAGATGTCTTGAAGGACATTGTGCTTCCTGCTTTTGATGGAGTTCAGTTGACCCCTGCAGAGTCAGTTAAAAGCTTTGGGGTCATACTGGATCCATCTTTATTACTGGAGAAGCAAATTAATGCAGCTGGGGGGGGTAAGGCTTTCTACCAACTCAGCTTAGCCTGTAAAATTGCCCCTTACCTTGATATGGCTGACCTGGCCTCCTGGATCCATACCACAGCAACATCCAGACTAGACTACTGTAATACACTGTGCACTGGTCTCCCTCAAAAATCAATTTGGAAAACTCCAACTGGTCCAGAATACCGTGGCTCAACTATTAACAGGAGCTAGATAGAGCATGAATATTACTCCCATTCTGTAGATGCAACATGGGCTGCAGTTGCCAGGCTCAGTCGAAGGTATTGACTATCACGTTAAAAGCCCTTCATGGCCTTGGCCCTTCTCGTTTGCGGTACAGTCTCTCCCCCTGTGCTCTGCCATGCCACTACAACTCCGCTCATGTCAGTAGGGGCTTCTGCAGGTGCCAGCCTACGAATTGGCAAAATCAACAACTGCCTGCACACATGATTCCTCTGTTGTAGCTCCCGCCTTGTGGAATGGCCTCCTCAGAGAAGAGGTCAGGAAAGCTCCCAGTCTCCTGCCATTCCACAAACTATGCAAAACAGCAACTATTCAAGAGGGTTTTTCTGTGTAGGTAATAGGGTTGCACTGTACGAAATGCTTCATAAACTTACTTGGACAAATGATTTAGACTGTGGTCTATACATCTGTCTATAGCTTATTGTAAGTAGGTTCCTATTATGTAATTTCTGTACCACTTAATGTGTCAATACTCATGCTATACTCAAGTTCTTTCTGGTGCTCCTACTAAAATCCAAATGCACTGGTAATTGAATGTCCCGTTTTGCTGATTGTATTGATGCACTTCGTGTAATCCACCTTGCGTCCCTGTGAGAATGGCAGACTACAAAAAATGAAAATAAGATAAGTAAAAATTTTTTAAAAACCTCTTTGCATTTCAGGCTCATGACCAAAGCTTGGCTGTGGTGGATGAAAAACCAGAACCATGACATTTTATGTGCATTTCAACAGAATCAAATTGCTCCCTGTAATTCCACATGCATACATTTATTGTGCCTCACTTGGGGGGGAAGGCAACATAGGAGACGTTCTCTACTGACAGTAAAGACCCTCCCCTTATCCTTGCCCCAAATAATGGATCGTCCCATTCCTATACAACTTCCAAAGACATGTCAAATTTAGGAGCGTAATTTGTATTTACTTGCATATCTGTTTGTTTATGCTAGAAAAGGGAGGGTGCAGGTGAATGAGTGGAACCTTGCTCCGCCACTGCAGACTTGAACACTCTCTGATGTTTGCAGTGTTTTCTTCAGGCCCAGGTGTTCTGCTGGAAGGGAAGTGCATAGAAAACAAATGCTTCAAGCAATGGGGGATATCCAGATAAGGAGAGGGCAGAGCTTAGCTCCTCCCCACCAGTGTGCTCCTTTTTCAATTCTACCTGCATTATTTAAAATATTATTAGCCACCTTACTACCTTGCAGCATGCAAGGTGGCTTACAATATAAATAACTGTTATAGAACACATAAAAGATGAGTTTAAAATCTCAATTAGGACTGTGAATGAATAATAACTAAATTAGTCAGATGTAGTCCTAAATAAAACTGTCTTCAGTTGTCTCCTGAAGATAGAAAGTGAGGAGGGCCAGGTGCATGTCTCTGGGGAGGTTGTTCCATAACTGTGGGGCTGCCACCAAAAAGGACCTCTCTTGTGCGCCCACCAGAGAAGCATCTTAAATTGGCCGGACAGTCAGGAGTGCTTCTCCCCGTGAGCGTAGTTCCCAGTCAGGAATGCACAGAAGAAAATAGTCCTTCAGATACCATAGCCATGTATGGTTTTAAAGAACAAAGTGTAAACAGCAGGTACTTGAATGTCATCTCATCAACTTTGTCTCTCAGTCTTCTTTGGTTTATTAAGCTTTCTGGTGGTGCCTTTGCTGATCTACCTTCAGGGATGCCAAGAATCACCATGGGTCCCTGGACAAAGATTCCATCTGCCCCCCCCCCCAATATGACCCTGATCCAAACCAGCTATCATAACAAAACAAATCAATCACTTGGCTTGCTGCTAACTTGAATCTATGGTAATAAAAGAATTGGCCTGTTTGACCATGTTTACGTATTTATCAGCCATTTATATTCCACCCTTCTCCCCAGTGGGGACCCAAAGTGGCTTGCATTGGTCTCCTTTCCTCCATTTTATCCTCACAACAATCCTGTGAGGTTGAGTGTGTGTGAATGGCCCAAGGTCACCCAGCAAGTTTCCATGACACTAGTAGGGATCTGAACTTGGGTTTCTCAGATCCTAGTCTGATACTTTAACCACTACACCACACTGGCAGGCATAACTCATCAGAAAATAAAACTAGGAGACTCAAAATTGGCCACCTGCTTCAGGAAGATTGTGTGAGTTCCATGGCCAAAATGGAAAGGCATGGGAAATTCCTGGCCCAGGTGAGAAAATTTGTTGAATTTTATGTGTTGTTTTACTGTCACAATATTCTATGTGACCTTGTAAGCCACCCTAAGCCCACTCGTAGGGAGGGCGGGATATCAATCAATCAAACAAATAAATAATAAACCACCACGACACCATGCTATTTGCAACTGAAGCTAAGGGTCTCTGTGGCAAGCATAACTCAGAAAATAATGCTACATGTTTGAAAACTGGCCTCTAACCCCAGAATGATTATGGAAGTTACAGTGCCAAAAATGAAGGGAACTGGAACACTCTGAACCAGGTTATCTTCACGACAGGCAACATGTAATGAGAGAGCTTTTAAGCAACCTGTCACATGTCTCTAATACTCAGATCCCCCAATCCACCATGGAAGGTTGCTGAATGATATACTCTCAGCCAGCCCTACTTCCCAAGGCTGTTGTGAGGATAAAATGGAGGACAGGAGAACAATGCAGCTTTGGGTCCCCACTGCGGAGAAAGACTGGGTACAGTATTTGTTATAAATCTAATTTTTAATTATATTAAAAAAGAGTACAACATTTTTCATATAGCAAAGTAGCCTTAGAAAGGGCTATTAGATTTTCCAACCATGATACTGATTAACAACTGAGTGCCTGAGCTGAGAGCTGCAACTTCTGTTCCATATGTATGACCACTAAAACAGATTAATATTCTATTACCATGCATGTAAAGGGTAGAGGGTTTTTTTTACTACCTTGTTAGATCATGGGGAAATATTAACTCTCCCCCTTCTGTTCATAATATTAACAAAGGTTTGCTGCTATACTACTCTTAAGTACATTCTGTCACCAAGAAGGATAGGGATGAGGAGGTCTTGAGACCAAGAAGTGAAAATAAAGGGGGGGGACATGGAAAAATTGGGTGGGAGGAGACAGAAATGAATGAGAAAAGTGTGGAAAAGAGGGGGGGAATTAAGAAAAAGAAGGAAAGGTTGTTTTATTTTGCTGCAACACCCTAACTACCACTTTGCAAGAACTGGCAGAGTTGGGTGCAAGGAAAGGAAGAGAGAAAGGCTAGACTATTGGAGAAAATGACCTTAGTTAGCAGGCTGCAGGCCAGCAGTTATTGTAGCAGCCATCAGCTGGGATGGCTTCCTTGCTCAACTTCTAAATTAGTTGATGGGTTTAGCATGATTTGTCAGGCAAGTTTGCTTCAGTCTTGGAGAAAGGGAAGTCTAGCTGATAGTACAGTACCTTGTATTGTGCTCAGGTTTCCCTGTGCCCCTAGTGGCTGCAGCCAGAACTGCATTAAAATAAACTGAAAGATGTTCGGGTGGATACAGCATGATGCTGGCTTCAAGGGCCCTCTGGTGGATTTGGCCCTCTGTGGAATTTTACCCTCCCCAGTCCCCCTCTGTTGGCAGCCCTGCCTGCATACATATTCTTGTTGCCCAGTAACTTGTCAATTTTGGCAGCTCTGGGAAATTCTCTCTGATCTACAGACCCAGATGGACTTTCCAGGGGAAAGGGAAGAATTATATGCTTTTAAAATGTTGTATATGAAAACATGGTCACTTTTATCCCATAATCTGAAATGTAATCATTTACTTTTTTTTCTTTGAAATGTAAAATAGGATTTTTTTTTTGATAAGTTGGTTTGCTCAGGTTTAAATCTGGCCCTTATTTCAAAGAGTTTATTAAAATAAATTGGAAAGTTGTATGTTAGTAAAAAGGTACTATTGAAGACACGGTACATTAGCCAGAACAAATGGGGAGTGGGTGGGAGGGTGGTTATGGTTCAGCAATATTATAAGTCTAGAGTTGCTATTATGAGTCTGTCGCTGCTGTGTAGCCCCATATTATTTGACATAGGTAACCCCATCAAAACATAGCTGTGGTGCAGACAGGATGCTGCCGCTTACAAGACAAATTCACAGGTGAAGGCAGGTGGAACCCCTCCTAATGCTCAGTGATAACTGTGTAATTGGGAGTTGAGAGGACGCTGCTATTTATAATCACAGTGACCATGGCCAATGGAAACATATTATGCTGTAAGCATGGTTAGTGCCCTGGGCAGTGCACCTACTTTTACCTAATACATTGCTGAGAAGGAGCAGAGAGGGAGGGGTACAATGAACAGATGGACAAGCCTGAACTTGCTTAATTACTGTTTAGTGTAGCTTGCTCTAATTCTGTTTCTCTCAGACAAGGAAAGGTAGGCACTACTAAAAAAAATTGTTAGAACTCAGTGGTAGGGAATAAAAGGAATGAGATCTATCCCTAGCTTTTCAAGGTCTGGTTACAGATTAGTGTACTTGGTTCACTGCCTCATTTCACTAGAGTATTTAACTTCAGCAGCTGCCATGCCTTGTATGCTACAAAGCCCTGAAGATTAGATTCAATTATACTTAAGTTCAGCTTGATTATTAAAGCTTATCTTCATACATTCAAGGACTAACTATTTCTTGTTAAATGCCGCAGAAGGGAGTATTTGTCCAAGGTTTTCCTCTTTGCTGTTCTTTATCTTTCATCCAGCTCAGAGCTTTGATCTAAAGTTCAGAGAAACTCAAGAATATTGCTGCTGAACTTGCTCAGAGAGCGTTTCCAAATGATGTATGTATGTATGTGGGGGGGGGGACACAAACTGTGTGTAGCATTGCACCTGTACTGCCTCTGCTCAGCATCTCTAGGGCAATATCTTTGATTTATTCAATAGATTTCTTTTTTGTGGGAAGAGCAGTAGATCCATCTGCAAAGATCACTTCCTCACCTTAGCATCTTCATTATGCCACTTTTGTTTTTAAAGGTTTCACAGTAAAAATATATGCTCCAACTGGTTAATATTTATAATGCAAATTATAATTTCAAGTTACCTAGTAAACCCAAAGTAAAAGTTAGACTGTTGCTGGACAGGGGATCTTTGAAGTATCTAGTATTTTGACCCCCCACACAGGAATTGTTCCAGTCTCTGGTTTGGTGGGTCCAAGTGGCAGACTTGAGGAGTTGATATGGGTAGCACAATTAACACAAGGAATGTTGTGCACATTTGTATGCAGTTTTCACTAACTTTTCCTGAATAATGTTTTTGCTTTTCTTGCATTTTTATTTATGATAATTATTGTAATTTTTGGAAGAATGAAGGCATGGTACGATTTTGTATTGATGCTAAAGATAACCAACATAAGGATGTTGTGGCAGACGTCTTAAGTTTTTTGTTTTAGTAAGTATAATAATCACACTATTGACTGTGTTAGCCTTTACATAATTGTTTTGCAATATTGGCTTTCACCTATCTTCACCATATTTTTTTGCTATTAACTAGGTTCGAGATCAACACAAAATGCTGAAAAATGAAGTAGAACAAAGAGACAAATCAACTGCAGAAAGGTGAGAATCAGAGAGATAGCTGTGATTTGCAGGGCCCATTGCAAGATGGAGGAAGTCTTTCAATAAATCAGTGTGGGGTACCACTGATTGTGCTCATGTATTCTGCAGCTAGGAGAAGAGATAAGATGAATGAGAATGAGGTACCTGAGATATCCCTTTCTTAGTTGGGGGTATGGGCACATGGAGAATTTGGGGGCAGGTGTACAGGGTTATAATTGAGCCAGTGGACATTTAGTGGTGTGGATCCTATGGTTGGCCTCCCTCCCTCCCTCCCTCCCGCCTCCCTCCCTCTCTCCCTCTCTCACACAAACACAAACTCAAACACACACAACCCCCCCTGTCCTGTTGCTGCCTGAGGTTCTCCCCAAAATGCTGCTTCTGGGGCACAGGAGACTCTCAAGAACACCATTGGGGCAAATTGGGGGTCTACAGCTGGAAGAGGGAGAATCGGCAAAAATGGCCTACCTTTAATGTGTTAATACAAATTTGCCAGCAAAATTATTACTATGGTCACTGGGGGATGAAGCCTGGATGTAGCCACAATGACCAGTATATGGCATAGCTTTCAATGTAGTGTGGCTGCTTGAGGTTATAAGCAAGTCACTGAGGCAGTATACGGACTGTGGAAAGTAGTACCATAGCTGCAGATTCGGACTGTGCTACTGGCATGGATCCCACGAAGTCCATTTTGTACCACCTCTGTTCAGCTCAAAGACTGATTGACCCTGTGATTATTTTGCTCATAGGTGTGAGGCTTGCTGATTTACAGCACCATCCAAAGCAGAGTTACATCCTTCTAACTCCACTGAAACAAATGGTCTTAGAAAGATATAACTCTGTTTAGGATTACACTGTAGTGTACCTTAAAGAACTCTTGATCTAGAAATACCTGAAGATAGGACTTGGAAAATCCTAGATACTCAGATATCAATACTTTCCCCCCTGTGTTTTTTTGCTCTGCAGAAAAAGAGAAAAACCAGAGGCACAAAAGGTTAGTATTGCTATTTGGTAAGTTTCTTTGTCTTACAGCAAAAACATTTCCAAATAATGGTGTGGCTGTCATTCTGAGAAGACTATATTGGGCATAGCGGGTTTACCACCAAGTGACTCAAGCAGTTGTTTAGGGTGCCAAATTGGCATGGGGTGCCACTTGGGAGATGGTGATGAGCATGGGGCATACTTGATGTTACCTCCCAGACTGGTCCAAATCAACTTGCCTTGGAGCAACTCAGGAGGGGATGCATACTCCCCCCCTCCCCACATGCCACACTTACCTGGATCCAAGGTGTTGAAGGGACCTTATGATGCATACATAAACAAATGGAACTGCCTTATACTGAGTCAAACCGTTGATATATCAAGGTCAGTACTGTCTAGTCTGGCTGACTGCAAATCTCCAGGGTCTGGCGTAAAGGGCTTTCATGTCACCTCCTACCTATTTATTTATTTTTTAAATACTGGAGATGCCAAGGATTAAGTCTGGGACTTTCTACATACAAAGGAGATACACTGAACTGTCAGTGAGGATAGCAAGAGATGAGGCGTGCTGTCCCTCCCCAGATATCTCACTCCTACTGAGCTCCAACATGATGCAAGCCTGCCCTGCATTCCGTTGGAGCCGATGGGCGTGCAGCATGGGAGGGAATTCTTTACCACTGCATTATGACCATTCTTTATTTGTAAGGCAAACGTTAACATATAAAGACAAATCTGGTGCAAATGCCACGATCTGCTTACCCCTTTTCTTGTGTTTATTACCTGCATATGACATTAAACAGCTGTCTCTTGATGGCTGGTTTTGTAATACAGAATTATTGAAGCATGAAGGTCACTCTATAGCAGGGTGGCTAATGTTTCCTTTGATAACCCATCCTGTTCAATAGGTACCGGAACTCCCTGTTAAGCTGGTGAGGGTTTGCCTCCACAAGTGCCGTTTACTAACCCTGTGTACGATGAAGGTAGTTTTGCCTCTAGTCATGTATGACTAGCTTTGATATAAAAGAAATATAGTCTGGGTAATTTTCTTGTCAGAGAGTTTTCTAGAGTTATGACTGCCCTTTGAAATGTGTTCAACTCTCTTCATAAATCTGAGCTGTGCAACTTCTGAGCTTTCAAAGGCATGAAGGGCGTCTGAGCACGTCTCCTCCTTTGCACACATTTCCGCTTCTCACAGTGCCAGACCGTAATAGAAAATAAATCACTGAGCAATCTCCCGCTCTCTTTTTTATTCTGTAGGATGTCCTTTGCTTTATCGTTTGAAAAGCTTTTCCCCCTCTTTCTTTTAAAAATTATGATTTGATGGACCCAATAAAACAATACGGGGATATATGGAATTAGATTGAAGGGGCAGGGAGGAATAACATGTCTATAAATGACACTCAGGCAGTGCTGAACATCTTGGTATGAGATGCCAAGAGAGCCAAACTGTAAGTAAATCCATGGAGATGTGGTTAGAGTACCCTCACCCGTTAACCCCCCCCCCCCCCGGATAATTAAAATGCCAAGAGAGCCAAACTGTAAGTAAATCCATGGAGATGTGGTTAGATTACCCTCACCCGTTAACCCCCCCCCCCTGGTATATATGGATAATACCCAGGATATGTTGTGAACTGTCTTGGTGTGCACATGGGTTTCAACCATTAATGGCAAAGAGAAAATATTCAGAATTCACATTTAGGATATAAATTGATTATACAAGGCCAGCATGGTGGTTTTTCCAGCATGGAGAAGGATGGGGGACTGATAGGCTCCATGCTGTGGAATTCTACCATAGATTTTGTGGTCATTGAACAGTGGATTGGGAGACAAATTCAGGTTTTGTCTCTTGGTGTTTTGGAGTCCTATGTAACATTTGTCCCACTAAGCTGAATGTAGCTCACCTTCCACTCATCGCAGCTTAGCAGAATTCCTTTGAATTCCCATTTTTTGCTGCCTTCCCATGACTGCAAAACTTGGGCTTGTCATGCGTACACGGCAGCTAGGATTCATTAGCCTCTGTGGGCCACAGTTTTTACAGACACAGATAATTGTTTAATTTGCCTGGGACAAACTTTAGTTGCCTTCGCTCAACTGCAGCTACTGTTTCATATGGAAATGCAGCAGAAGAAACCTCTATGAAGATAATTTACATAGATAAATGAATTGCTGCCTAATTGTCCATTAATTATCACAGTATTGATTAGAAGCCTTTTACCATCTATGCATTTATTAGCTGCCTCTTAGATAGTCTCTCTCATACATCTTTTGTGTGTCTGTGTGCGTGCATGTCTGGAAGTCATGGTTGACTTCTAGCAACCCCTAGTGGGATTTGGACGTTCAGAGAGGGGGCTTGCTATTGCCTGCCCCTGCATCCCAGCCCTGGCCTCCCAATACTTGCCAGGGTCGGCCCTGCTTAGCTTCCGAGATCTGATAAGATTGGTCAGGGAGTCTCTCTCATGAATCTTTATGAGTGTATCACTGTTGATATATCCTCTGATCACAGTAATATTAATTTTTGCCTGACTTGGGAGAGCAGGGCAAATGGTATGTCCGAAATCAGGATGGGTGTCTGAGCTGCTTCATATTTTGAAAATGGAAATGGCTAAAAAATGGGTGAAGATGTGCACTTTTGTAGGAAGTCCAGCTCCTGAAAAGGGTCTGGAAGCTTCATGAGATGTTTCTCAGTTCCCCTTTTTCTATTAGAAAGATATTAGTTGTTTTTTAAACTACCTCTCTAAATGTATTTTAAAAGAATAGAGTAGGAAGATATGTCAGAGGTAGCGCTCATGTTTAACAGTGATAGTTATTATAGATTCAGAAGTGCTGGTTCCCTTAACCGGTAAGTTCTCTAAGGGCTAGTTACAGGCAGAAGAAATAGGGTGGAATTTCAAGGGCCTTATGGCCTTAGCACTCCACTGGCCTTTGATGGAACAGGATGATCTGCAGGAAGAACAAAAGAGAAACCCTAATGTTCATATGAAAGGACTTTGTTGTTAGGAGGATCACATAGTTTATTTTATAATTTATTTTTTGCCCTCATGTTCTCCCAGAAACCAAGTATAAGGCATGATATGTCCAGGACCTTACTTGTCACAAAGGCAGTTTGTTGAATAGTGTATCCATTAGATGACCAGGTGTTCAGAATAATGTAGCATCAAAAATAATCCTTACTTAGACAATATTCCCCCCCTTTGGGCAGTTCAGTATTAATTACTTTGGCAGCTTAGTTGTATGCAAGAATACAAGCTGATGGTTCACAGTTATTATTGTAAGGTCAATAGAATAAATAGGCACCCATAAAAGATCGAGGTCATTATACACATGTAACCTAATTGCGAACAGAACTCACTTTCACTGTTTTATAGGTGCAAATAAAATGAATATGCTTTGCTTATTACAGATGAAAATTAGTGATTGCGAACAGAACTCACTTTCACTGTTTTATAGGTGCAAATAAAATGAATATGCTTTGCTTATTACAGATGAAAATTAGTGATGAGTAAACTCATTAGCTTGATTTGGCACTGAGCTTATCAAACCAGTTCCCAAATAACTAGAAAATGTAGTTTCTAGGGTTCCAAATGTCTATACATGTTGTTTTCAGGATGCCAGATATCTGTAGGCTTAAGCCCGTCAAACCCCCTGGTATTTGGGGCATAGCAGTTCAGCATCCCATGGGCCAGGGAGAGAGGGGCACCAGCTCATATCATGATCCCAGCCAAAGAATAACGTCTGGGGCAATTACACTTGGTTTGGTATATATGGCATAGTATTAAAAACTGGACAAACTCATATTCAGAACAAGATAATAGCAGGTTGTGGGGCAGCAATAATAATAGTTTAATATCACATCAATGAATTATTACCCCTTCTCTCGTAATGCTTCTTTACTTTTAACTGCCACGCAACAGGCAGAAATTCAACAAATAAAGCTTTCTCCAGCACTACATGTGCATACTGGGAAAAATTATTAATATTTGTCAAGCATAAAAAAAAAACATCTTGGTATGAGATGCCAAGAGAGCCAAACTGTAAGTAAATCCATGGAGATGTGGTTAGATTACCCTCTCCCTTTAACCCTCCCCCCCCCCCTGGTATATATGGATAATACCCAGGATATGTTGTGAACTGTCTTGGTGTGCACATGGGTTTCAACCATTAATGGCAAAGAGAAAATATTCAGAATTCACATTTATGATATAAATTGATTATACAAGGCCAGCATGGTGGTTTTTCCAGCATGGAGAAGGATGGGGGACTGATAGGCTCCATGCTGTGGAATTCTACCATAGATTTTGTGGTCATTGAACAGTGGATTGGGAGACAAATTCAGGTTTTGTCTCTTGGTGTTTTGGAGTCCTATGTAACATTTGTCCCACTAAGCTGAATGTAGCTCACCTTCCACTCATCGCAGCTTAGCAGAATTCCTTTGAATTCCCATTTTTTGCTGCCTTCCCATGACTGCAAAACTTGGGCTTGTCATGCGTACACGGCAGCTAGGATTCATTAGCCTCTGTGGGCCACAGTTTTTACAGACACAGATAATTGTTTAATTTGCCTGGGACAAACTTTAGTTGCCTTCGCTCAACTGCAGCTGCTGTTTCATATGGAAATGCAGCAGAAGAAACCTCTATGAGGATAATTTACATAGATAAATGAATTGCTGCCTAATTGTCCATTAATTATCACAGTATTGATTAGAAGCCTTTTACCATCTATGCATTTATTAGTTGCCTCTTAGTCTCTCTCATGCATCTTTTGTGTGTCTGTGTGCGTGCATGTCTGGAAGTCATGGTTGACTTCTAGCAACCCCTAGTGGGATTTGGACGTTCAGAGAGGGGGCTTGCTATTGCCTGCCCCTGCATCCCAGCCCTGGCCTCCCAATACTTGCCAGGGTCGGCCCTGCTTAGCTTCCGAGATCTGATAAGATTGGTCAGTTCCCAAATAACTAGAAAATGTAGTTTCTAGGGTTCCAAATGTCTATACATGTTGTTTTCAGGATGCCAGATATCTGTAGGCTTAAGCCCGTCAAACCCCCTGGTATTTGGGGCATAGCAGTTCAGCATCCCATGGGCCAGGGAGAGAGGGGCACCAGCTCATATCATGATCCCAGCCAAAGAATAACGTCTGGGGCAATTACACTTGGTTTGGTATATATGGCATAGTATTACAAACTGGACAAACTCATATTCAGAACAAGATAATAGCAGGTTGTGGGGCAGCAATAATAATAGTTTAATATCACATCAATGAATTATTACCCCTTCTCTCGTAATGCTTCTTTACTTTTAACTGCCACGCAACAGGCAGAAATTCAACAAATAAAGCTTTCTCCAGCACTACATGTGCATACTGGGAAAAATTATTAATATTTGTCAAGCATAAAAAAAGCAGGTGCTATTCTGTTGCTTATTGTGCAGAGCCCTATTGAGAGAACAATGGAAACCTACCCACCCCACCCCCTGCCATCCTAATGCAGTTGGTACATGGAACCCTTTACAAAGTACACTTCAAATAATGCATAATGTTTGAAGAAGGAAAAAATAAGGAAAGAGGGGAAATAGTGCACAAAATGCACAGCAAAAGTGGATTACTAAAAAGATCTGGAAAATAGAAATGTTTGTATATGCTTTTTCAAGGCAGAAACTGACATGACTGGAGGGAGTGTTCCCACCGTTCCCAGAGTCATGTGTCACTTCATGGAATAGCCTTCCATTGCTCATCTGCTAAAAGTGGGTCTGTCCATGATAAAGCAAAATTGGACTGCCACTGCAAACGGCATACCTGTTTTGAGCTGCCCCCCCCCAAGCATAGTACAACTTACCTAATTTCTGACATTGTTACACTGGACAGGTGGAGGACTCATGCGGGGAATCCCATCCATCTGCTGGATGGCAGTGCTTCCCCCTGCCCCCTGCCCTTCCCACACATAAAGTGCCACCACCTGTCTGACTCATGTAATGGCGGTAAGGCAGGCAGTTGTAGTGGGAGCAGGGGCAGTTCTGGCTAGGCTGCACCACCTGCCTCCCTTAAAATGGCAGTCAAGGTTTCACAATACAGTGTTGCTGATTCTCAGTGTCTCTCCCAACCACGATAAATTTTTGAATTTGTGAATTTTTCTGAAAACCTCCCTGGGTCTGTAGACAAATACCCCATTCTCTGGGGATTTTGATCTACCAGGGGCTAGGTTCAAAATTAGACGTATGGTTTCCCTCATCACTGTTCTGCTTGATAGGCTGCCAAGGATAGGGAAATGCTCAGTGTAAGGATATCATGGCGTAAAAAGTGCTACATGTTGTGGAGACAGAGGTGAGAATTTGACAGAGTACATACAGTGGTTTTTTGGCAGGAGCCCAGTGTTCCTTATAACATGGTGTTCTAAGGCATGATTATGAATTTACCAAGCAGCAGGTGGTGCTTCAGCACAAGTAACCACCAGAATGTGGTTCCAAGAGCATGTTTCTAATACCATCCTAAACTGCTTATGGCTTTCAAAGCAAGGGCCCTAAGAGAAACAAAGTGAAGGGAAGAAGATTTAACACCACAGTTGTAGTTTAGAGACATTTTGGAACACTAGAACACCAATTTAAATGAGTTGTGAACGGAGCTTTATGCTTGGTTTACTAAACAAAATTAAGTCTGATAAGCAAGAGTAATGGAAATACTACGGCTCCACAGTCAAGTAGATACGCTCCACGCTTACTTTGAGGCAGTTTGCATGAACAGGTAACATGTTTAGGCAATGGTCTCTGTTCTTTGGTACTGTAAAAGCATGAAGTCTTGAGGGAGGGGGGAAAACATGGCAAAAAAACAAGTTGGTTGAGTTATATTCCTTAAGGAATATTTGGCTCTTGAAGAAGGCAGATATAAAATGTAACTCTACCTGGAGGCATCATAAATGTGTGTGTCTGGTTTTGGTTTTTTGATTAGAAAAAAAGTAATTTAGGTTAAGATTTCTAGACATTTAGCAGCTGTGGATTTTTCTTGCAGCATGGTTTTCCAAGAGATGTCCCTTAAATTGATCTGGCCGCTTAAGGCAGGTCACAGAATGGTGGTATTATTATCAGCATGATATATTGCATTGTGAGATCATGACAGCATTCTGCAGCCTGTCTTCTGGTGGAATCATGGGTGGAGTTAGCACATGTTCCTATGTTTCCTTAATAGTACAGGTGCTGTAGCTTCCCAGGCCTTTCCAATAATGTTGTGGGTAAAGTCAGCATGTGGCTTCACACACTGTAATTCCCCCTTCCAACATTAAAAACCAAAGTTCATGTTATGCTTATCATGTGAAAACAACCTAGACCTGCCACTAAGCAGTGGGGAAATTAGCCTCATGTGACCTGACCTGCCACTAAGCAGTGGGGAAATTAGCTGTGACATGACTTGAATCCATCAATTGGTCAGTGGAAGGCACTGATGGTGAAAGATTTTTCCTGTATTTGCCTCCTTCCCAATAGTCTCTCTCCTAGGGGAAGTTTATTCCTACCGTTGTGCAGCCATGTGGATGGATAGCCACAAGAGTGGGGATGCTACAATGCCTTTTCTGTCAGCACAGTTCTGCTGTCAGAAGTGGGAGTAATGGGTGATTTCATCCCCTTCTCCCTCCCCACTGCAGTCTTCCAGACCTCACAGGTTATTCGTCCATGTGGGTCTCACAGCCATTAGTATAAGCTGTCCAGGGTTGGAAAGGAATGGTGGATGGAGAGCAATGTGGGAAAGATTGCAATCCAGAGGCACTGCCTTACTTGCGGGTAGCCCCCACAGTGTGGCACCCCACTTCTAAACTGAACCAGAAACCCACAAAGTCAGGCTAAAGAGGACACTCTTGACTTGTGCCACAGTGCTAGCCAAAGCTCTGCAAAAAGGGTTTCAATTTCAGGTTGTACAAGGCAGCCCTCAAAGCAATTTCCTACCTCCCCCCTCTACCTGACCAAGGTATGCATATAAAATAAGTGCGATTTCCTCCAGGTAAAGTATCTGTATCCCCATAGCTATTCAGTAGCCACCTCGCAAATAGCTCCTCTGTCTTCAAACCTTCACTTATCCCCCTTTTGTGATACCTACACCTATGTGGAAATCTTTTGTCTCAACACCTGTCCTTCCTGCCACCTCCAGCAGGATACCGAGATAAACTAATCAAACATTAATCTCATCAGCGATCCTTCCCTGATGCTGATCAGAGACCCATTCCCCACCTTTTTGCCTAAGCCTGGGAACCTACTCAACCTACCCTGGCAGGATCATCAGTGGGTCATCAAACCCATTCAGCCAGCTCTGGTAGGACCATCAATGGACATTAATCCCATCAAGTTCTGGTCTGGGTGACCGCCCCCAGAATTCCTATAAAAATACAGAGCATGCCCCACCTCGGTGTGCACTCTGAGGATGCCTATTTTGAGTACACTCCCCAAATCTCTTCTTTGGGCCTCCTTCTCCCTAGAGTGGAACACTGGCCATTTGTGCTATCTTCTTCACAGATTTCTGCACATCTGGACAGGTAATATAACCCCCCCATAATTGACCCTAAAACATTGCTATCATCACCTCTTTATTTCTTAGTTCAGAATTGCATCCACTTTCTTGACTACTTAGTGTGACTGTAGTCAGGGAAATTCTTCAATGAAAACTGTTTGATTACTCTTTAAATCCAGTCTTCCTACTGAACTGGACCTTGGTATAGATAGGTGTGCCTGGTACCCCTCTGGCCTCCTCTGTCTCATAGCTAATTTCCCCCAACAACAAGGCAGGCCACTGGTGGTGACAAGATCTGTGATCCTTCCATCTGTGGATTGCTGGATCCAAGAACAGAAGGAGAAAGCTGGCAGCAACTCCTCCTTCTCTCTCAGTGTGACTTCAAACCCCTACAGCTCTCTGTGTCTTGCTGGAAGGGCTCCTCAAGAGTTCTGCAGCAGACCGTGTGATAAGCGTAATATGAAGTATAATTCTAATGCCTTTCAACAGCAATACCTTGTTCTCTATTTTTGAAAAAAACAACCCTTCAATTTTATTGATTTTACAACTTTGAAAATATGTAAGATATAAGAGTATGAAACAGGATCTGACCCCAGGTCCCCAAAGCGTACTTATAATGTAAGCAAGCAAAGGCCAGTCTTATAGGCACTGTGCAATTTGTGCATAACCAGGGCTATTTTTGGGCAGGAACGCACAGGAACGGAGTTCCGGCTGGCTCCTGAGTTGGCCACGCCCAGCAGGAACCTAATTAGCATAATAGGCCACGCCCAACAACAGAAACGCATTAGGACTGGCTACGTTAGGGTGTATGTGGCCTAACATGCAAAGGAGGTCCTGCTACAAAAAAAGGCCCTGGGTTTGGACAACAAACAAGGTAAACAGAATAAGAAGCAAAAGGTGGGTGTGTCTGGATGACCACACTTCTGCAAACATGGGGTGTGTGGCCTAATATGCTAATGAGCTGTGCTGTCAGGGGTCTAATGAATGTCTGCTGTTGGGTGTGACCTATTATGCTAATGAGTTCCTGCCGGGCTTTTTCTACAAAAAAAGCCCTGTGCATAACAGTATTTTAGGGGGTCACTGTCAGCTTGGTGGATATTTTTACTTTAGCTTCCATGCTACATTACAAAAATGGGGCCAGTGCACATATGACTATCCCAATTGCTTATTTACTGTGATGTACAAATAATTCACTTCAAGAGCAAGCCCTGAGCTTGGGTCTGATCTTTTTGTGTAATTATTTGAACAACACATGAAGAGCAATCCTAGCCTTCCCTAATGTTGCAATTATAGCTGTACTGTTTATGCCTCCTTAGTAGGGTTAAATACATTTCTGTTCCAAAAACGTGTGAGACTTAATCTTATTTAAACTAAATACTGCAACAGTTGCCCAGACGTCCTGTTAGAAGCTTATTTGGAAGACACAGCTTTGATTATCCTCCCTTTCCTACTTACATAACTCCATCTTTATTTCAGATAATTGGGATTTGAGGGGCAAGTGCAGCCAGTTGTTCTCAGGGCACAGAAGCAATACATGGGATTTTGATGCACTAAAACTCAGTAAGATACAAACAACCACGAAGTACCTGCCCTGATATTCATTTCAGCTACTTATAAAATAATGACCATCAGGGCAGGACTAGGCATGGCTTACCTACACATTATTCCAGTTGCCTTTTGGTTATGGCTATTGGTCACATGCTGCAGGCTTGAAACACACTAGTAATGTGATTTCAGCTGACTTCAGCATTGTAGGACCTCACTTGTGTGTGTGTTTAATTGCACCTGTACAAATACCTGTGCCACGGCTATGTAATTCCATAGGATTTGGAGGATAGAAGTGAATTGTGTTTCTGTCTCAAAGCAGTTTTATAATTATATGTGTAATTCTGACAGCAGTCCTGTGCACGCTTAACTGGAAATGTAAGCTATTGAATTTGACCTAATGGGTTTAGCGGACAATGATAATCAAAAGTCCAAATTGAAGGAATGGGTATTTCATAAGGACAGCCTTTTGAACCTTCATGTGGCGGCAAGTTGCCAAATGGCCCCTCTGTTTAAGATCTTTTAAAGAGATCACTGTAGGACTGGCTATTTAGAGAAACTAACCAATCTTGACCTAAGAAGGGCATTTACAGCCCTCAGATTCCATGCCATTCCTTCAATGGTCTGTGTTGGTCGTTTTATGGGTTTACCTGTTGCCTTAAGAATCTGTCAATGTGGTTTGGGCGAAGTGGATGATATTGAGCACTATTTACTGAGATGCTCATAGCACGAATCACTTCGGCAGAGATTTATATACCCTATTTTACCTTTGCACAATGGATTCTCAAAACAGGAGTTGGTTGTTTTTTTGCTCTCTGATATGGACGTATATGTTACCAGCAGAATGTCCCTGTTTGCTTTGGCAGCAAAAAAGATAAGATTAAGGTTAGGATTCAGCGCAAGTTAGTGAAGGGATAACTTAATGTGATGTATAAGGATTGTGTTTGTATTTATGCTTTGTTATGGCCAATGGCTAATACAATAAACTTGATGATGATGATGGAAATGTAAGCTATTGAATTTGCTGGCTGGTTTTTGAATAAAATTGCATAGGTTTGAGCCATCAGTTGCTTTGCTCCAGTTTTATAAAGGAGAACACACTGTCTCCTGGATCTTGTTTGTTAGCATGCTTAATGGAAAAACAAATGCAACTTCTGGAACATGGTTCTTTTTGTAAAACTAAGTGAAGCAATAAGTCTGAACTAGAATGAGTTCTGATTACCATTGACTGCAACTGTATTTCTTTTCCTTTTCTTTTATCAGGGAGCTCCTAATTATTCTATCTTGGATATGCCTGTTACCCGAGAACAACTGTCTCACTATCGGAATGCCGCAGAAACAGCCCGTAGTGAGCTTGCAGCACTCCTGGTGAAGTATGAATTTGCTCAGGCGGAAGTAAGTTTTGAAACAAATGACTAGCAGATGTGCCTTTTTGGATGAACGTTCTTTGTAAACGTAGCAGAACATCTAGAAGGCTACACTTACCAGATGCCACATGCCATTGTGTGTTCTATTAACAACTCATGTCTTCCATTGATACATGTGTTGTGATTTTCGCTACTGTATCCCAAACTGTGTGCCTCCTCTACAGCTTTCAAAATATCCATCAGTCCAATATTCTTCCTCCTTTGTTTAGCCATTTATGCCCCCCTGAACACAGATAAGCTATAGTACATAAACCCCATTGAAATAAATGAAATAGAAGCAGCAGTACCGTGTGTAGAACTGCAGTCTTTTCCTTCTTTTGTATATCTGACGTCTAAAGTCCTTAACTTTTAAATCATACATAAACCCCATTGAAATAAATGAAATATAAGCAGCAGTACTGTGTCTAGAACTGCAGTCTTTTTCTTCTTTTGTATATCTGACATCTAAAGTCCTTAACTTTTAAATCGTCCGTTACGCTTGACTTATTCAGCCCCATGGTTCATGCCACTTCTTACAAGTCTTGAGGCGCCTGTTTCCCTCCTCTTCCCAATGGCTTCCAACACCATGTCCCTGTGGGAGTTTTGCTGTGGGCCTTTTTCCTTGCTGTAAATATGTATCATACCTTCACTTGGACTCACCGCTTAGGCTAGAAGGAGAGTGCTGAGTGATGGGCTGTGCCCAGGATGGCCCCTTACTAGTTCCATGCAGCCACAGCACGCTGAAGACTAAATGTGGCGTTTTTCTCTCTCTTCAAAACGGTCATGTAGTGATGATTAATTGTTTTACATTGAAAGCTATAATGCCTGTTATTCTTGCAAATAACCTACATGCCTCAGTAAACACACTGTTAAGCTGGGTTGTTAATCTAAGTATTGCTTGCGTATGTGGTTTAATGGGTTAATTGGTCAATGATATATATGTTTTTGTATCATCTAACCCAGGGGTCCCCAGTCTCATTGTGTCTGTGTACAGTTTTGGAATTTAGATAATGGGGCATAGGTATTGCCACAGAATGGCTGCCGTCAGGTACTGGAGCCAATAAAATTTTTGGGGGGAGGTTGCAAGGTAAGCATCCTCCTATAATAGAGGCAACAGTTTCTGAAAGGCTACTCCTGTCCTTTTGAATCTCTTCCTGATCCAGTGTGGTAGAGGAAAGCCAGGACTGGCTGTTTACTTTGGAGGAAAGATGCTTTGGAGAAGAAGCAAATGGGCTCCAGGAAACTCATTAATGGGTTTCATGGTGCCCCTGGGTGCCTTGTTGAGGATCAATGGTTTAACTAGTCATAGCAATTGAATATACAGACTTGGTAAGCAAGCAGGCTTTAGTAACTTGCTTTTAAGTGGAGAACATTAATGCATGGATAATCATGCTATGATGAGAGGACTGAAAGAACAAAGTCAAGGAGATGTCTTGGTTATGTATCTAGAAGAACTCTTTGGATCTGATTTTTCCATACCCATTAAGAACATTCAGAGTAAATTCTGAAATTGTTAGAAAAATAAAGATCTGTAGGGATATAATTGCTGTTTTAAAAAGCTTCAACATAAGAGATTCTTTGTTAAAAACCTTAAGATTAAGCCCCCTAAAAATGTATGGCAGTACAAAGAGCCAGTGTGGTATAGTGGTTAAGAGCAGTAGGACTGTAATCTGGAGAACTAGGTTTGATTCCCCACCCCTTCACATGAAGCCAGGTGGATAACCTTGAGTCAGTCACAGCTTCTTCAGAGCTCTCTCAGCTGCACCTACCTCACAGGGTCCATGTTGTGGCGAGAGGAAGGGAAGGTGATTGTAAGCTGCTCTGAGACTCCTTCAGTTAGTAAAGGGCAGGGTATAAAACCAACTCTTCTTCTTTCCAGTCTTTCTCCATTACACTGCAGAAATGCAGAAATTTAAGGTTCTTTCTTCACTGATAAATTATAAAATAAAAATATAGTTTTTAGGTGAGGCTTCCCCTTTCAGTTATTTTTTAGATACAAGAACATGAATTATAGTATTAAGAGAGTAGAAGAGGCTAAGGAAATAGAGGCTGCTTTATTTTTGTAAGCTTAGATCTAAGTCAATTGGCATTTTTGTAAACTGTTACTCCAGCTGCAAAAGCCTTCGACAACATATTGTTACTTCATTACTGTTTTTGAACATGCGTGTATACACACCAAGTTAGTTCAAATTAAGATGAATAAAGATTTTTTAAAAAGATACTTTCATGACATGTAAATGAGTTGAATGAAGCACAGAAGATGAGGAAAATCTTTAGATTTTTATTAAAAGTACAAGCTAGCATCATATTATTGGAAGAAATGCACATTAGGAAGTCACAAAAACATCTTTTGGAATGTCCCAAATTGGGACAAGTATATATATTATCTGCAAATAACAAAACTATGGGAGTTGCCATATATATTAAAAACCCATATATACACATTTTAGAGCATGTTTCTGATATAGAAGGTAGATTTTTATACTTGAAAGGTATCTGGAAAGGTAAAGCATTCACCTTAATAAATATTTACACCTTAAATGTAATCAAAATAATTTTTATAAGCAATTAGAAAAATGTCTAGATGAGTTGTCTATAGGTGATATAAAAGACTTTAATGTAGTGTTTGATAATGAAAAGGATACCACCAGTGCTAATATAGGGGGGAAACTGACCTTGAAAAGACCTTGTTTAAATTAACCTTGTTTAAACAATCACTAATTATGCATCAGTTGGTAGAACATGACATCACTTTAATCCCAGGGGTAAGGATTTTACTTCCCCCCCCAAGTGCTCATAACTCTTTCTCAGACTCGATAATGTTTCTTCAAAACCAATTTTGACTACAGTGAAAGAGGCTAGTATGGGGCAGTTCACCCCCAGTATATATGACAGTGGTAATTGCTACTCAGACAGAAAGGTTTTGGCTTTTGATGACAATCTACTTATGAACCTAGACTTTAAAAGGAAATTCAAACACATTTAATTGAATGTTTAAATTTGAATAGAAACACTAGCACAGATATAGTCTGAGAAGCTAGTAAAGCTTATATTAGAGGTATCATTCTTTCTGAGTCATCAAGAATTAAAAAAGATTAAAGAGGAAAACTTGTTTACTGCAAATTAAAAAGCAAGAAATTAAGTATCAAATAAAAAGGACAAATGAATCCTTAGAAGGCAGTTTGAAGAAATGGAAGCAGAATTTTTTTTTTAAAAAATATCATGTTAAGTAGGAATTCTTTGAAAACTCTGACAAATTAGGCAAAACTTTCAGCAGCTAGGATTAAGAAAAGAAAAGCCAAGGAAATGATTGTAGTAATTAGAAATGGTAAAGGTTCTCTCATAAACAAGAGGGAACAAATTGTGCAATAATTTAGAAACTTTTATGAAAATTTATACAGCTCACACAACCCAGACATAGAAAAATAAATAAATGATTATTTTAAGAAGCTGAAAATACCACAAGTAACTGAAGAAGATAAAACTAAGAAAGCAATTGATTTACAGGGGAATCCACAAAACCCCCAATAAATGTATTTAATCATATGCAAAACTAGGTTTTTTGCAAGGGATACCATAAAGGGGTATCTTACATTACCATACAAATTAGTTACTTTTGGTATATATAGCACTTTTAGGAGCAAGTAAATAAGGTAAATTTTCAGTAGCCTCCCCCAATATGCCCAGTCTCAGCAGCTGAGCATGGCTACAATCTACCTCTCGCTATTTGTTTCCTGTCTTCCCCTATCCTACCTCTGAGGATCTCGAGGCACACCAGACTCCCCTTTTCACTGCCCATCCCTACCACCACCAACCCTGTGAAGTGGTCCAGGCTGAGTGACCAGCCCTGAGTGACCCAGATGACAGGTTCCTGGCTCAGGAGGAAGGGGTGTGTGTCTGAACCTGGCTCTCCCAAATTCCTCCACCATCAGTTCTCCCTCCTGCATTTCCCTCAGAAACAGTGGTCCTGAGGGGAAGGCCTGATGGAGAGGCTGTTTCTGAAACCTCCAAGGGGTGCTTTTTGTCCTCCCGCAAACCCTTTTCTTTCATGGGCTGAGGTGCAGGGGAGAAGGGAGGTCACCATCCCCTTTCCCTGACACTCATTCTGCCTCACAGTTCTGTCGCTGTTCAGACATGCGACAGCAATGATGGCACCCCTTTTCTCCTTCGCTCCTCCAATCCTTTCCAAGGCCAAGGCATCTTTCGCCTCAGAATGGCATGCACAAGACAGCCTAGTTGCCTCCCAATCCATGTGGTGGCCCTCCTCCTCCTCTCTCCCCCACCGGCCCCATCCCTTTGTTGGCCAACTGCTGCTCCCCATGCCTGCTCTCACAACCCCCCCATGGTTGCCATTTGGTGCAGCGGAGGCAGCACCAGCCACTTAGCTCCACCCCTCCATGTAGTAGCTTCACCAATCCTCGCTGACCTGTGGTTGGAGGAGGCAGGAGAGGCATAGTCCTGACACCTAGCAATCTCCTTTCTGTTTCTTGACAGCTTCGATCCCCCCACACATGCCTCACTATGTGTGCCTGCTTGTCCTCCTCAAACAGCCTCCTGCCTTCCCTCCTTTGCACCAGTTGCTTGCAGGCTGGATAAGAGCCCTGGATGGGTCAGTTCTGGCCCCTGGGCTGTATGTTTGACACCCCTGATCTAAAGCATATAAAGCATTGCAAGGAATTTATACAAGCAAATATTTCCCTCAGTCGTGCAGTTTGGGTATGATTATACTAGTGTTGTATAAAACAAGTACAATAACAAAGGAATATTTCTATGAGGAAAACTGGTTACATAAGGCATCATTCTCAAAAGTAATCCGGTATCTCAGGATTTATATACCACTAGACTCAGGTCTGTTTTGTAAGTACAACTCAGCCCCAATTTTTAACGAGATCAGGGACAAACTACTACACTGGTCCTCCTTGAAGTTAGTTCTGTTGGACAAGATCAGTCTTAATAAAATGTTAGTTCTCCCCAAGTTAATCATACTGT